TTTCCATGAGATGCACTTTTTCTGTTATAAGTACCTGACATTATATTATCTTCCTGGTATCCTGTGTGTGGCAGGTTCTACTCCATTGAACAATGCTGGTAGTCTGATATTTGAAGTTGGCCGACAGGATAGAGAAGAGAGAAGTGATGAGCTCTCATTGTCCAAGCAGCAGTTAGGGGGCTGGTTGACTACCGAGCTGTATTGGCAATGGGAAAAAAAAAATTGGGTCGATGATATCTAGCCCAACTGTTTCCTGTTGGCCGGCACCTTTTGGCCGGAGTCTTTTAGTAGGTCCCGGTCAATGAACAACAACTTTGCGGAGCAGCAGTGCTCCACCCTGTTGTTATTATTTAATGACAGATCCCCTGGTCATTTGGGGAAGCTGATCTGTCATTACAACTGGGCGGAGCGAGCCATGAGATCACAGCTGGCTCCGCCCCCAGCTGTCATTTGCACGGAGATCGGTCGGCTTCGGCTGAGTCCAGCTGAAGCATATGCCTTCGGCTGCGCTTTCTTTGGCTGCTGTATGGGCTATTGTGAATAGCCCGTACAGCAGCCCTTTGGTTTGACAGAACCTAAGGGCGGAGGCAGCCAAAGAGAGCCGTAGTGAATAACCCCCTAAAATTGTATATAATCTTTAACATATTAAATGTAAAAAGCAATTTTAATTTTTTTTAATGTAGGGCTATTAAAATTATATCTGGTGATCCTGTCATGAATGTCCTTGTTTAGGCACTTTGTGTGACAGTACACTGTCCCTGTTTCCCAATTGCTCTCCTGTGTTGTCACTCTATCACACATCCTTCTGGTGGATACTATAAGCTGATTACATAGGTATGGGTAACTATTCTCACCATCAAGACACACGTTGTGAGCAATGAGATGCAGCTTTCACTGGAACAAATGTATAGACAGGAAGTGGTTCCAAAGAGGCTGGAGGAGACATCCTGACCCATGCCAGCCCGGATCCGCAATACCTGCAGTACTGACGCCATTTTTTGACAGGCACTAAATAAATGAAGCTTGTGAAGTGTGCATATGTTACATGAATGAAGAGTGTGAAAAGAGGCATTAGCTGTAGTGTGCACCGGAGTCATTGTCTGTAGAAGGGTTGCATTTATTTATTGCACTCTTTGGTACACCAGTATGATAACGGCCTTTTCTACAAGCTCCACGCCTTATGTCATGCAACTATTTAAGTAAACATTAATGGTAAAATGTGCATTCAGAGGAGTCTGTTTGCTTTATAACCACAGATGCTTTTTAACTGCACTGACCAGCAACCAAGAGAAAGGAAAGATAGTTTCATGTTTCTTGGACTTTAGTCTTCCGACTTGCTGAATTTAGCACAAATCTCCAAATATTGGTTTATACATTTTTAGATTCAGTTCTTACTAAACTCAGTCAGGTTCTGATCTAGATATAGGGCTTAATTCTTCATGAATGTCTGTACTTACTAATTCACTACTGTAGGTAAAGAAAGATAAGGCTGGTCATAGAGGAAATAGAGGTGAATATCTACCAGATCATCAGACGTACAAGGTATAGGAACGTGATTTAGTGTCGGTAATCCAGTCAGCATGATCTAGGACCTAGGTCATACATTCTCAACCAACGTGCCTCGAAATTTTCACACACCTTCATGCCTTTGCATGTTGCTGGCAGACTGGCTGCCGTAACAATGGAAACGAATGATACTAACCCAGGGAGGATCCATTCAGAAAAGACGTTCCACTCTGTCCAGGCCTGCTCCACCTTCCACCCTGTGCCATGCTTCCACAACTCCTGAAGTGACGGGGGGAATTATGTAAAAAGAGGCTTCAGACCGGGGGGTCAGATGTGAAAGGAGCTCCTGATGTACACAAGGGACTTGGATATGAAAGGGTGGCTCCAGATGTAAAAGGTAGGACTTTGATGTGAAGGGAGAGCTCCACAAAAATCCATTACATCTTAGCCTGGGGTGCTTCGAAATTTTGCATACTTTTAAAGGGTGTCGTGACTGAAAAGGTTTGAGAAATGCTCATACAGATGCTGTGCCAAATGAAGTATCCTATCAGTGAGGTGCCCTGGCCTTTTATTATATTGGCAGCTAACTGCTCCATTGTAAATATAGCAAGATGGTTTTATCTAGCTCAGAAATGTCTTATGGAATCCATTTAAAATGTATAAATATTACAGTCATGTGCTGAGCAATACCCAAAACAGTCCAGATCTATATATGGGCTGGATAAAAGATTGCTCAGACAGCTGCTTCTCACACTTGACCATCCGAAAGGAAATAGAAACCACCAGTTAAGTTTGGATCAGAACAGTGGTTTTGGGAGTATGCAATTACAAGACAGCAACATGAATACTGTGTTTACTGCCGTGTAAACAGCTTATTTGAGGAGCGGTGGTTGGTTTGTTGTCTGATTTTGGCTGGAGGCTGACATCATTCACTACATTATTAGATGTTAGAATGTGAGCCTTGCCTTTTGGCAATAACAATAAATGAACTGGAGTTTACCATATATTACTCATCATTTTGTCAAAACATAAAAAGTTGCTTGAACAAGGAATGCCAGCTCTAGTACAGATAAAAGGAAAATGGCTCATAATTATTTCTCTCTTGTATTTATTATTGGGCCATATTAAACATTGCTTGAGGGAGTACACAGAATCATCCACGTAAGCCAATGCCCTAGAGGCGGCTTATAACTTAATGTCCCTACTACTCTCATACACATGCAGTATAAGGAAGTCAGGTCACATACCGTTGAGTTTTTGAATCGTGTGAGGGAAATAAAACATTTAAAAATAAACCAATAAAAATGTGGCAAATATGCAAATTGTACACTACGGGACACATGATCAGTTTTGGAACGTCCGAATAAGTTCAACTGAGGGTTGGGCAACACAGTAAACAACCAATAACAGGCCCACATAATAATGGGTCAGAGAGTAGCTGAGAGAGGCATATGAACATCATGATCTGCTAGATTGTAAGCTCTCACAAGCAGGGCCCTCTTACCGCCTGTTCTGAAATGATACTGTTAATTGTAAGGTCTCCCTCAATCTTGTAAAGCGCTACGTAAACTGTTGGAGCCATATAAATCCTGTGTAATAATAATCTCCCCTTGTCCAATCACAGAATGTCTTCGATTCTTTAAAAAGACTGCAAGATGTTCGTATGGAGGAGCTGCACAAGGAGCAACCCGCTGTGATCACTGTACTCCAGCCCAGACTGTCAGTTTCACTGGCGGAAGTTAACCAAGCATTGATGACTGAGAAAGTCCGTCAACCAATTCTCCATGCCTGAAATGTGCACAGTGGTCAAGGCTGGAACATGGAGTTCTGCCCCAAACTTCTGCCCTCTTTGAGCTGTGTGACTTCTGGAGCCTCCCTGATGGTTAAGGTAAGCCACTACTGTCTAACTCAGGGGTAGCCAACCATGGCTCTCCAGCTGTGCTGAAACTTCAAATCCCATAAGGCATTGCAAGCCACAGGAATGACTCCCAGAGACAGAAGCATAATGGGATTTGTAGTTTCAGCACAGCTGGAGAGCCAAGGTGGTCTACCCCTGGTCTAACTGAACCCTCCTGCTCAGGTGACCTTGCAGCTGAGAGGTCCAGCATTGAAGGGACAACTGAATCAACCATATTTCCAAGATAATGATGGAAAGCCAAGCTTCCTTCCACAATCAATTCCCCTGTACCCAGAGGGTGTCCCGGACTCCTCCCCAACCTGACAGGTTGGCATCCATTCTGAGCACCTTTCAGCTCATTAGAAGAAAGGCATTTCCTGATTCCAGTGCTGGATTGGAATTCCACCACACTAGGGAAAGTCAGAAGGGGGCCAATGACTCAGATTGGGGACAGTTGTCTGGACTAAACAGAACCAGAACCTTTTGGGCTAGAAATTGCAGACCTCCTCATTAGCTGCCAAGGCTTGCGGACCCATTTAGCTTGCGCTTATAATCCGCCATATGTAGTGAGGGACATTCCACAAGGGGTACTCCCAAACGGTAATGAAGCACAGGAAGGGTTATGCTGTCTGTGACCAGTCACTGTAGGAAGTGGGAGCCCAGAAAGTCCAAGGATCATTATGGTGTGCAACAGTGGTGAGGCAGGGGGCAGAGGCTCATGTGGTAAAAATGGCACACAAGTGCAGTGAATCCATATGAAGTGAGGCTACACAGGCACAATGGAAGTCCTAGCCCTTGGATAGAGTACCCAGGCAGAAAAGGCACCAAATTTAAAATGTGGAGTACCAGAGCAATGAAAGGGCAGCAGCCCTAAATTACTGCAGCAGTGTCGTGGTTCTCCCAGTAGGCGAGAATGGATGTTAGGGACTAAACCCCATCCAGATCTTCACCATCCTCATTGCCATACACCCCAAGGGGTCTTCAGGGGCAGGGTTCAACCAGAAGATAGACTATTGCGATAGATCTGCATACCACCCCGTGACTGACAATGTGTTGCACTACAAGCCTAGGGGAGTGCCCAAAGCAACATTACAGGCTGATACCACATATCTTCTAGGTCAAGGCTTAGCTGATTCAGGAGTCAGGTGACCCAGAAAGCTGCAAATGGTAAGCTGTAGTGGATATGTAGCAGCTAGGAATCTTGCTAAAAAGAGTATTGATGAAAAAAGAATAAAAAAGGGAGCAGAGATAAGTGGTTCACTCACCTAAGGACACCATAAAATTAAGGCTTGCTGGGAGTGTAAGCGGTTATATTAGGGCTGCTCTCCCAGCTGTTTGCCAGTGTCCAATCACCTGAAGGGAAATGCATAACCCCTAGTCTAAGACTCTGACTCTGTTTTCTTTAATGTAAGATTGAGATATGCCATTTTATCTATGCTACATCTAAATCACTCAGTAGCATGGGACGAGTATGGTCAATAAAAACGCCAGCTTCAGTCTTAATCTGTACTTTGCTCTGATAAATTTCCAAATCTAAGAGTTTTCAAACTTTTAACTGAATGATTAAAGCATTCATTATCCAATATCAGCTGAGGACAAAGTCTGCATTCCCTTAACCCAGGGTATCTTGAAGTTAAACAGAAATGAGAAATGCCGTACGCACTTTGGCCACCAATGATGTTGTAAATCCTTTGATCATTCAGTATGTAATACTACTCTGTGAAGTCCTATGAGAAGGCACGCTAAGCCATCAATTCTGCATGTCATGGTCCGATTCAAATAAATGGTCACCTACTTACTTTGCAGTTGGTTATGTACAGATTGATGAGATCTAAAATGATATGCCATTACTCTCATTGTTTACTAACAAGTAATAACATAGGCACATGCTTTTTCTTTAGGTTCCAAATAGGCATTGGGTGTTTGCCCTCTTCAACCTGCCCCTGCCCCAAATTGAATGGGCAAATAAGAAGGTAAGTCTTGCATCAGACCAAGTAGTGCTAGTATTTGGGGCTAATGCTTAGAACCAACCCTACCTCCTTGGGACACTAAGCTAAACTAAGCCGGATTTCCTGTGCAGAGCAGCAAGTCCTGGCACTCTCGTGGAGAAACACATCTTGCTGCCTATTATTCTTAGGCAGGCTGCCTCTGTGTATATAGTTGCCATAAGAACCTTGTACAAAAGGGTTTCAGTGTGTAAAAGAGTAATGTGTAAAGCAAGCGAATTACTAACGATTTACAAATCTTTCAGCAAGCTTAACACAGCTTTGTTGAAGCCTTTAAAGCAACCACCAGTTGCGGTTTGGGGATGTTAAAACACAAATCTTATAGGATTAATGCACATTAAAACAAAGTGCACTTATCCTCTTTGCCACCTTACCTGACCTAACGCCCCCTCCTGCCTAACAGATGCATACGTCCCTCAATACAACGGTCGGGGTTCTGCTGTTTGCATCCAACACCGCAGATTCTCACTGTCCTGGCTGTGTCTGAGCACTATAACCCCATAGACTTCTATAGGATTGTGTCCAGCCTCTGGACACATTCCCATACAAGCCTACTAGGCAATAATGTGCAGGTGTGGCCATGAGTGGGAATACTTGCACCACTGGATGAAAACAGTGGAACCACGACTATTGGACTGAGGTGTGTTTTTATCTGTGGAGGGGAGGATTGGCTAGGTCAGGGGGTCAAAAAAGGATAAATGCATGTTTTAAAGTGCATGCATACTTTAAAGCGTATCCACAATCTAATAGATATATTTATACATCAACTTACCAGTTCTTAGATGTGGTGTCTGTATTGGTTTTCTTTATGGTAGCTTTTTTCCCCCCTTTATTTTCATCAGGTAATCTTGAGATTAACACCCATTCTAAAGAATCTATGAAGGGTGCCATGGTCATCATCCAGGTTGGCTTCAGACAGGTCATGAAATTAGTATTATACAGAAAAAAGGCTTTTTTTTTTGCTTCCAGTGCAGCTCTCATGAAGTGACAAGAGCACTGCATTTCTGGCAAGATCAACAGGTATTTTCTGTACTTGTTGAAATGTTTTTAGCTAGTAGAATTAAACCTAATGCAGCCACCACATGGACTGGTATGCTGCAATATGTTACATTTTTGTTCTTGTGTTTAGTTATTGGCAGTGCTGTTACTTTAAACATGCTGCTAATGGGCTTCATCAGGCTTTCAACACAGCTAATGATGAAGTAGATAGTGACAATATAAATGTCTGCAGAGTTTTTATATTTCAATTTTTTAACACTATTGCTGCAGCACCAATACTGTAGTTGTGACCACTTTTACTATGCTCCTGCTTAAATAACAAAAATTCAGCATCTCATTGTTTAGCGGTTGCACACAAGGGAGATTACGAGAACATTTTATGTCGGAGTGCTTACACTTTATTGCAACTTCAATACACGTTGCCAATAGAAGAGGCACCTAAAATTACTATACATTTGTACATAAACTTAATAGTCACCAAACTTTTGAGATTTGTCAATAAAAAGTAACTTAAGACAAAACATTTCTCATATTATGTATTTGTATTTACATGGTAAAGCAATAACTACGTTGATCATACATATTAGAAACAATTAAAAAAGTTAACTAAAAATGTACATCATTACACTTGTATGTATAGGTTTGTTTGTTTTTTTACACAGAGGTAAAAATGCTTATAAAAAATTACTACAACAGGTTTTACTTATTAGTATACAGATACATAATGAATATACTGTTTAGGCACTTTCTTTTGTTAATGTGAGAAATAGCAGAAAGTAAAATAAACATAAGACAAAACATTGATGCTCAAGACACAAACCATGTACAAAACTGGTTAATCCCTTACCACAGATATAAAAAAATAAAATGTTTATGAACAGTGTGGATTGATTGAAATGTATATTAAAGGATCTACAAACTATATACTTGTCCTTTAAATGGAACAAAGTTTATTCAAACGCAATATTTATGTAAAGAAAAACCAACATATTTTGTGGGTAATCTAGAAAACCTTGACCAAACTATCCAAATTACAGTGGACAAAAGGTCAGGAAATCCAAACATTTGGGAGATATTGTTTTGGCCCCAAGGTCTGTTGTCATTTCAAAAGCGGCTTGAGGTGCAAGATTCCAGAAATGATGCCCATGGTTTCTCATGCAGGTACATGTTCCGGTTTAAATGACATGAAACAATGCATCTGATATCCACAATTATGACCTATAAACTGTTACAAAGTCCAGCTAAAAGGGAACCTTAAAAATACAGGAACTGCTACTGCTGACTTGTTTTTTTGAAGGCACTTCCTCCAGGGCTGCCTTTCTAATGCTTGTGTCACCAAGTCGCTGACCTGGAACAATTATGTGCAAATTGGTTACCCCCGCACTGGAGATGTATATGCATGTTCCGAGACAATGAGCTGCCAAGCAGTGAAGGAAGGACAAGTATGACAGCCCAGAAAATAAACATTCAAAGCAAGTCAGAGATGGTTACTCTTCAAAAGACCCTTTAAAATCTACTTTATATGTAAAGTAAATATCAGCATATGGGCCTGCTGTTGGGAGGGGGCCCCAGTGGGACACTACATGAGAAACAGTTAATAGAAGGGAAGGCTTTGGATTTGCCTGGAAACCCACTTTAGTACAGTCAGACTAGAACAACTGAATGGTTAGCCAATGCATTGGCATCTATATCAGATTTGCTCATACAGGCTCAACCATCTATGCAAGAAACAATTTGATACTAATGCCCATCTGAAGCTTCCTGACCTGGGGAAGGGCAATTAATGTTGTCATGCAATGATGGTATACAGTAAAAAAAAAATACAATTACTGCACAACCACATTTTCCATTCTGATCTTCTACATCTGGCCAAAGAAATAACCATTATCCTACACACAAAGAAACTGGTGGTAGATTAGGCTTTGTAATGGCACCAAATTTTGCAAAACAAACTTAGAACATGTTCTAGACGCCTGCATTGGAGTAAGAACCCATGGGGCTCATTCTATCAGCTAAAAGCTGATAAGTTATGTTGTGATTCTGAAATTCTTCATCATCTGTACAACCACAGCTGGAATGCCTTTGCTACCAGCATGCATCTGCCAAAAGATGAATACCTCCCAAATGATTGAAATACACTGACCTGCTAGAAAGGAAGAAGGATTTCCTGATGTAATAATGTGAAATAGAAAGCTGTCAATTTAAAACAAGGACAGACATTCAGCAACTAGCTTAGCATCATGGGAGACATCAACATGACTATCTGTTGCAGAACCACAGGCTGCCCACCAGTAGGGTAAACCACATGCATCTGTGCTGCAAAATCAACACATGTCCCTTTATCTGTACAAACATGGGTATAAACATGGGTAGGGATGCTACTGAATTATTTAGGCATGGGTGCAAAATGTATTTGATTAGTGTTGTTCTTTCTGTGATTTAATGATGGAATAGTAAACCGAAGTATGAAATGTTAACATTCAAAAAGTTGTACCATACAAACTTTCTCACACTTGCAAGCAAACTTCGTTTACAAGGTTATCACACGTGTTCTTGTTTGGTCATGTGATAATGCCAAAAAACAACCCCCCTCAGCATGCTCATGTTCAGGTGTTGCTTTTTGGTGCATTATTCACAGGCACCGAGTGATTTTTATGGCCACACTTTTGTTTCATAACGCTTAGCACGTCAGCAGCTGAAGTGTTAAAAGTAGAAGCAAGCAGAAGTTGCACTAGCAAAGCATAAGGAATGTTGATGGAAATAGCCAGACACAAACGTAGATGAAATGTAAAGTGAGACTCTAGCCTTTTTTTGTGTGGATAGAATGGGGAAGGGTTAGAACCTCTCCCTACTTGGGAGATTCAACCTCATTTTCTGGCCTGGTGACACAAGGCCGGAATAAAAAAAAGTTGAGAGGTTCTAAAGCTTACACACACTTTTCAAAGTGGCCGGTGTTCCATTTCAGGGGCAAAACAATGCACTGTCTTCACTATAGTGGTAATCATGTAGCGAGCTTGCCATGCAGTTACCACAGCGGTACGATCGCAGAGACTCCTACTTTTTAGGAGACCTGGAACCATCATTAGTCCTAGACATTTCCAAACCATGGCTACACCAGAGACAATTTAACCTATTTTTGGTAATGGGGGTTCTCAGAGCTCCAAAGTTCTGGGGCAAGTTTTGTAGAAAAAAAAAATGGAGCTCAACTTTAAAAAAAAAAAAACCTTTTCCACTGTTAGCACTGGATATACACATTGACTGCTTCTTGAAAGAAAATAATTTGACCATAAAACAACGAACATAATGAGTAGGAACAAGTTAACACTTTTGCCTCATTAACCAACACATGGCTCAAGACCCGTCACATTTATGTGCCAGTTTTTGTGTCAACTCCCATCTCTAAATGTGTTATATACATTTCTTTTAATTACATCAGCTAAGGTAAGGTAAGTCTTGGTCAAAAAAAAAAAAAAGAAAAGAATGGCCACATCTATATTTAAACATTTCAGCATGTGTTAATGGCAATTAGGGACATCATAAACTGGTAGCTTTTTTTTTTTTTTAAATTAAAAAATAAGTAATTTTAATATTATGCAGTCAATTCTGTTCACAAAACAGTGCTTAGCAGTGTTCATTAAGGATAAAGGCATTTAAAATGTGCACCCATTAAGTGATCCTGTTCCTGCAGCCTGATCAGAACTAGATGGCATCACGTAACTTTGCCATCCAGACTGGTGTCTATGTCGCATATCATCTTGCAGTCTCTGTTGCAGAGGATATTAATCTTCGCTGCCACAAGAGAGCATGGATGGGAGAAAGTAGACAGGCCCTGTACTGGGAGGAATAAGTCCATCTACCAGCAGCAGCTAGACATAAATGTTTCTGCACCAAAGAAAAAATGGTAACAGACCCTAGCAGGCAACAGGCTGTGGTTTGTCACACATCAATCTGGGTATCTAAAACCGGTCACTACATTATTCAGACTTCAGTGTCCAAGGCCACCTAAGGCATGTGCAGATACCTTCTGGTGCCTGCCGTTTTAGGCTACATAATATGTACATCACTGGTGCCACGCCTGGCTTGGTTTAAAAATGTCTGCAGACTGTTCAGTGTTGGAGCCACAATCTTATATAAATGTCATGTAGTATCCATTCATAATGATAGGATGAAGCACAGAATGTAGACAAAATGCAGTCAATGCTCGCCAACCACACTATATGACTGTAGTGTGTAGAAACCACAAAGAACACATTCCCCACTAGTGGTCCAGCATTGCAGCCAAATACAATATGATGTCGTTACTTTTAAGCAATAAATGAAAATCAATGTTCTTGGCATATAAAACAAAACAAAAACACTTTAAGACTAATGTCAATGTGCAATCAGAGGGTGGGGAAAAGGCACACGCCTGCTGACCATTTACTGCAAGACGACATTATGGCAGGAACAGAAATGGCAACTTTCATAAGCCAGTCCCCAGCTGCCTCATATATTTAGATTGTACTATGCTAGTAATCTAGAGTTGTCTCAAGATATATAATATTATATTTATATTTTATTTTACAGATACAAAAATTATTTGGCTACTTTTAGGTTTAGTTGAAAAACAAAACAAAAACCCAAATCCGTTATGTTTGCCCTTCCCTCTTATTTATAGCGTTCAAAGAAAAACTGGAGACAGTTGTTTAAAGCAATATAATTAAACTCTTAATTACAAACTAATGTTTTATCTATGCAAGTCAAAATCGCAGCCTACATTTACCTGATCCTTAAAGTTCAGTTACGTTACAGCAGTATGATGTACATAAAACCTGGACAACATGGCCATCTTAAAGGAGAATTCTAAAATATTCAATATCTGGAGGTGGGTGAAGACCCAGAGGAGCAAAATATTGCTTTCCTGCGTTTTCCTGGTCTGGCAAATGGGGTAGTTGGATAGTCTTACACTGGTTATTTTCAGTTATGGGCCCTGCTAAAATACCAGTCTTCCAAAACAAGAGGAACATCTAGGGACAGCCACCCGTTCTTGACCCACATTGCTTGCTCACACTTTCTGAAGATCTGTGACATTTTAGATTGTAAGCCCTCACGGGCAGGGTCCTCCTTACCATCTTGTCTTGAAATTGTATTGCGACTGTTACGTCTTCCTTATATTGTAAAGCGCTCTGCAAACTATTGGCGCTATATAAAACCTGTATAATAATAATGAGCCTCACAGAAGTACGACTGCCCATAACAAGCAGTTTTCCGGTCTGGTTTCTAAATTAGAATTTAAAGGCAGAAGTCTAGTAGCTGGTAGGAGCAAGAGAGGAACATTTGAGACATTTCAACGAATGAGGCCCAGCACAGTCATCTATTGTGTCACAAACAAATTACGAGCCACACATTTCCTGTATTTGCTCTGCATCTTTTTACAAAATCTTTTATTACTCGGCTGATTTAGGTCTTAAGTATTTTGGAGCATGATATTGTACACATGGAAGAGTCCCTATCCTGATGAGTGAGGGGTGAAATACCATCAGGTATGAACAAACATTGTTGTTTCCAAGTGAAAATAAATGCAAAATCTTATGTTAAAGAGAACAGTAACTATATTCCTAAAAAATAAAATGAGACAACAGAATCCATATTTTTTTTAAATAATTTTCAATAGATTTTTCAGAAATCAAACATTGAATCACTGATTCTGAGAGAGTTACCAGAGCTCTCCCACTGAGCCCTTGCCTAGTGCGGAGTGGAATTATGACAATTCCAGATGGTGGTCAAAAGGGGTCACAACTTCAGTTCTTTTTTGTATTCTTTAAACGCAATTTACCATGGTTTTTAAACACTTCATACATACACTCCTTTATAAAAGGCGAGAAATATCGAATACTCTATGATTTGGGTCACCTAATCAAAAGTACCCCAGGGCTTGAGTACATCACCAGTACCCAGTAAACGTGTATTACGGCTTCCTAAACAATTTTCCAATAACTATAAATGATCTGATAAACAGTTAAACAGTTTCATTGTATTTCATATATGAAGCACAAGTATCCCCTAAACCCATCAGAAGTCACAGTTGGGCTAGCACTGTTTGAGAACCAATGATCTATCAGATCAAAAGACATAGGAGTAAGCCCAGCCACCCAATGACTAGCTAGACCAGTTAACATAAGGAGACAACTGGACCAGTCACAGGAGCCAACATTTTTTTTTAAGAAGCCATGAAACATGGTGCTTCTGTGAAAAAGGCAAAAAAAAAAAAAAAAGGTAGGCACTAATCATTTTTAGGTTCGCTGGCTCCAGTCTGTAAAGTGATTCAAGTGCTAACCAGGATGATTCAATTTGGGCTAATATGGCCGATTAGGTAAATGTAGTTACATGGGCAGTTTAAAGGGCCGGGCAGGGACTTAAGTGCTTAGATTTGGCCACACGTGCGGAAACCATAACAATTTAGGGTCAAAGCAGATGTCAATCAACATGCATCTAGGATTGAGCGGTTATCCTATTCCACTGCTGGTTACACTGATCAAACATTTTAATCCCCAGCTACTTTTGTGAAATACGCGAGTGTGACATGTCTAGCCATGCAACTATGAGATGGTAAAAATGGACGGCATCAAGTGTAGCAAGCAAGAAAGCAAAATAAGCCATAATTGTGTCTGATTTGACATATCCTCAAATATTTGTCAAAGAAGGGATAATGGGATTCAGCTTGTCATAAAAAATACAGAAGAGCTCTATAGTAGTAGATCATGTGCAGGCCTATTCATAAGGACAACGCAAAAACAAAAGATGGCATACAAGGTGCATTTATTCTGATACTATTACCTATGTGATACACTTGAAACCAACCCTTAGCAGCTCGTATTTACATTTTTATACAAAGTGCATTTTCAATTCCAATTAGAAGAGGTCGGAAAAATTAAAAAAATGCTAGGGGGTTATTGCACCTGCACTTTGTTCCTGGCCATACACGGTGCAGATTTTGGCCAGTTCAGGATCAACACAGTAGGTGGCCCAATTGGCATCCTTCCATCTGGCATCTTTCAATCAGACAATTGAAGGAGGCAAATTTCAGGTGAACAGTGGCAGCAGCCAATTGGCTTCTGTCACTGTCCAGGTATTCCGACAACAGCACACTCACCACTGTTTAGTGTGGATGGGGAAATCTGTTATTTTTTTTGTTTAGCCTGCAGTTTGAATGAAAAAAATATAACCGTGTATGGCCAGCTTGTCTGTGAATTTCACAACACATGCAGGTAACTGGACAGTGTCCTTCTGCCAACAGCTCACTATACCTCCACTATTTTCTCAGTTATTATAGAATAGCCCGAAGGTTTCCTAATTTTTTGGGGGATTTACTTTAACTAAATTAACCTAAATCCTTAATGAAAACTGAACTCAAGGCAAAGACCTAAATACAAAGCTGAAATACACATACTCTGTTTTGCAAGTCTGTGCAACTACCCTTGTGATCCAAGTGCCCTGCACAACCGTGGCTAGGATTTCAAAAGCAGCTAAAGCACTATAGTAGGACCTGGATGCACCTACAGCTTGCTGACTTCACAATAAAGCAGCAGTAGATGGATGAGGTCACGTCTCTGATCTTTCCTGTTAGCATACCGCCAACTTTTTTCCATTTTTACTTTGTTATAGATTACAGGATGTTGATATCAAGACAGGTTTAGGTATGAACTGCAGCTGCATTTGAAAATACATTTTAAATTAATACATAGTTGCATTATTTGGTGTTTTATTAAGCCTACAGTTCAGCTTTATGGCTTTAAATTGCACCAGATAACACAAAGTAATATCCCTCACACAAGTATTAAGCCAGCTTCACACCTGCGGTAATGTAATGCATGGATGGATTTGTGGTGCCATTCATTTAAAACCGCAACCCCAATGCACTAAACAATGCACCTGTGTTCAAGGCAGCACAACACACTCCCATGCATTGTGGTGCACTGCACTGGCAAACATGGTGAAGGTACAATTTTAGATCCAATGAAAAGGACGCCTTAACACAATGCACATTAGCTCGTCACACAGTTGTGAAAGGGGCCCTATATAAAAAAAAACCCGAAATCTTTATTAACATTTTATATTCGTTGGGAAGGTAGAACCCAAATAACCTCCATACATGGAAATTATATGTTTATATGGGAAACAATTACCAGAAGAAGAGGTCTTTCAAAACTAACTACTTAAAGACAAAACTTGGCTGAACATTAATGTTTAGCTTAGAGTAAGGGGGGACAGGAGGCGCTTATAGACACACCCTAGTGTTTGATCAGAATTTAACCCTTAGGGTTGTCCACCATGGGTACCTTCATTTGTACAGCAGCAAGAAAAAAAAATATCCTTTAGTGAATGTTACCGCTTTAATTACTCAATATAGCGAAACTGACTACGGCTTTCTTGTAAGTGCACATAAAGGGAATCTCTTCTAATCGGCTGTCCCCCATTTTTTTGTAGTATGATAGCATGTTATAATCAGTGTATATTAAATATAATTTAGCCACAGCTTTCCGCTTAGATCATTGCTTCCCAAAATATGGTACCAGTAGCCTTAGTGGTTCCAATTTTTATTGTTGGTGGTTATTAAAAATCGGGAGCTCCATATGCTCACTCCAGTGATGGCTGTCGGTGGGCAGGCACTTGAGGCAGTATATATATATATAAATATATATACAT